TTATCGCATCAAGTTCATGGAGGAGGAGCTTCTGTTTTTCTTTGCAATAGCAACGCCTTCAATTTTTTTTTTCCTGTCAAAAGCAACGCCTTCAATTGGACTCGTAATAAAATCCATAACCTCCAACCTTTCATCTGACAGAGCCAATCGGTATATTCTGGCTTGCTATAGCACCTTGTCATCTACAAATTACATAACATGTTACGAAACTTACCGCTTAAATTTCCACTGTAATTTAAGTTAAACGTTATGGGGACGATACGTGGAACTTGACGCATTTGAGGACACCTCAAATGCATAGTGAAAGTAATCTATTTTTTGTCTTGTTAAAAAAGAAAAGGTGTAACCTTTATATACCTTGCGCAATAGTGAGAATGAGCTACAAGTCTCCCCACTTTCCCAGGGATGACGCATCGCATGGCTCTGATTAAAACCTCTCCTCTCTTCCATCTTTTCTGCAAAACCCCTTCAGCCCTTTCTTCCTACACAGGTCCCAACTGTTTCAAATCCCTGAAACCCATAATGATCCATCCTAAGTTCCAACCCAAGAATACCTTTTCCATGACAAAGACTACCAATTTATGCACCACATCAGCCATCCTCCAAGGCCCCTCCTCCTCTTCTTCAGCAGTACCCCATAAGTCCAGGAAGAAAGCCCGCAGCGAATCCCAGAAATCCTGCTGCGTTTCAAACTCGATCAGTGCTCTAAGCGCGGTGATTTAGGCGAGGCCCTTCGCATTTACGATGAGGCAAGGGCCGATAATGTTCCCCTCAGCGTTCACCATTATAATGTTTTGCTTTATTTGTGCTCTGCTAGAAGTAATAGCAGCGACGATATTAGTTTAGAAAAGGGCTTTCAAATTTTTAAGCAAATGGGGTTGGATAATGTTGTCCCAAATGAGGCAACTTTTACTAGCGCTGCAAGATTAGCAGCTGCTAAGGAAGACCCAGAAATGGCTTTTGATTTGGTTAAGAAAATGGAGAGTTACGGGATTGTTCCGAAATTGAGGTCTTATGGACCTGCATTGTTTGGGTTTTGTAAGAAATCAATGGCGGATAAGGCTTTTGAGGTTGATGCTCATATGGTTGAGAATGGTGTTTTAGCCGAGGAGGAGGAGCTTTTGACCCTATTGAGGCTTAGTTCCGAGGAAAATTTAGTCGAGAAAACTTATGAATTTATGCATAGGATGAGGTCTACAGTAAGACAGGTATCAGAGGAGACTGCAGGTGCTATGGAGGATTGGTTTAAGTCAGAGACTGCTGCTGATGCTGGATTGAAGAATTGGGATGTGGAAAAGGTGAAGGAGGGATGGTGAAAGGAGGAGGTGGCTGGCACGGGCAAGGGTGGCTGGGGAAAGGGAAATGGAGTGTGGTTAGGACTGAAATGCAGGAGAACGGAGTATGTCATTCATGTGGAGAGAAGCTTGTTTGCATTGATATTGATCCTAAAGAGACGGGAATTTTGCTAATTCAGTGCTAAACTGGCTTGTGAGAGAGAAGTAAGGGCGGATTTTGTGAAATTTCAGGTATGATGTTACTTTATTGAATCTATAGGTGCTTCAGTGGAATGATATTTGTGTTTGCTGCTTTTTCTGTATTTTGCCCCTATACGGTTAGTTGATCCAGATAGCTGCTATATGCTTTTATATGCTTCAGTCACTATATCGATAGTATTTGTCATACTAATATGGAAGATGCACCCTCATAGGAATGGCTCGCAAAGCATGGACCTTTTGATGCAGTGATAGACGGGGCAAATCTTGGCCTCATTAATCAAAAACATTTCAGTTTCCAGCAGGTAATGAAAGATCTTTTTTTTCATTCCTGTGTTAGTTGTTGGAGAGCAGTAACAGAGTAGTTAAACCGGAGTTTAGGGGAGTTAAGGGGAGTTAAGTTTATGGGAACTTCATCTCTTGAATTTGTCATAAAAAAGCACAAGTGGAAACATTAAATCTGTTGAACATCTTTATACATTGAGATTGTGTTTCAACGACCTTTGGCCTTTTTCAAATTCTTTCTTGGTACAGCTGAAACATGTTGTGAATCAGTTACACCAAATGAGCAAGTCAAATAGATTGCCACTTGTTATTTTGCACAGAAGCCGCGTGTTTGGTGGTCCTGCTCAGTACCCTAATAACAAGAAATTGTTGGAGAGTTGGAGAAATGCCGGTGCACTTTATGCTACTCCTCCTGGTTCAAACGACGATTGGTAATATTCATTTCTTTTGCCTCATGTCTTATACATTTCTAACACCAATTCCGTCTACACAGGAATTTAAGTTTTAGTTTTGATTACTATTCTTTGTTCTGCTTGCTTCAGTGTTTAATCTTGAGCTGCATATTCTAGAGTTTTCTATAATGCAAATTCCTTTTAGAGGGTTCTGATTTGCTTTGCTGATCTTACTTGAATTGTCTTGAAGAGCTGAGAAGCAGATGCATCCGCTGAGTTCCAACTTGAATAAGACAGTAGTACTTTTGTTTTCATTTGACACGTGTCCAAGATCACTCAGATGATAATCAACTGCAGTTGTTGCAAAGCTTATGTTTTCCTGAAGCACTCATAACCAATGGAATAATTGAAGTTGTAAAAAACCCTATCATGATACTTAGGTTCAGTTATTACTTTCGTCATCAGCCAGTGATGATAAGCGGCTAATGATCTCCAACACAAGGGTTGTTATCTGAGATACAATATAAGTTCTGATACTACCACTTGTTGCTCAGAGGTTGAGATAATTTTGGTTTTATTACTTCATATCAAGTCCAAGTCAGTCAAACTTCATTAGTATGCTGAATTTTGGCTCCAATATGCAGAATTCCTTTGTCAAAAACTTGTTTTGTAGGATTTCTGCTGCATGTACTATGTCCCATATGAGTCAATCAGTTACGAGTTCAAGGTGTTTGTTGAGACTATAATTATCATTCAGTCAGAAAATTATTTGGTGATGAATTCCTCACGTTGCCAATTCTTGATGAAAAGCTGATGGTTCTTATCGTGTTTTGCATCTCATATTTTCCAGGTATTGGTTATATGCTGCTGTTAGTTGTAAATGTTTGTTGGTGACAAACGATGAGATGAGGGACCATTTATTCCAACTACTAGGGACTAGCTTTTCCACGATGGAAAGAGAAGCATCAGGTTTTACCTTTTTCCTATTAACTTGGAATGACAGATAACCTTTAGATAAACTGTTAACAGACAAGAAAAGAGAAAACTGATACTCAATAGTTTCTACTATCAATCATTACCTATTGCATATGGCTGTCCTTACTTGGTTGTACTTCTCTTACCTTAGACAAAGTTGACGGAGTCTTTTTTTTTTTTTGGTGGGTTTGAACAAAGGGAGGAAGTAAATGGATAGATCCTTGATTGGTTGCCAAGTGCAATGTCCTGGGTATTTTTATTATTGTGCAATTTGAATGTGTTCTTTCATCTTTGAAATTTGAGTTTTGGAAAAATCTTACAGAAAAGTTAGTCATTCTTCTTTGGTGAGACTTTCAGCTGGATAAAATAGACGACCATACTTGTGACATGGACAATTCTGCACTTTCAGGCAAACATGATATATTGAGACTTTCCACTGAACTAATTGACAGCTTGTATGGAATTTATGTGCTATATATCTTGCTCATGGGAGAACAATGTACTTGTACTTTTCCATCAGAAACTCTTTTTTTTTGGGGGGGGGGGGGGGGATTTTGTTGGTATTAGTCTGTTGAAGTTCGAAGCCCGGGAAATCCAAATTTGACGTATGAAAAATAAAAGCCACAGTCCACGCGGGGAGTTACATTGGTGGAAGTAAAGAAGTAAAAAAAAGATAAGTCGTGGAGTTACAAGATCTATACTTAGGTTGAAAGGTTTTGATCTTCATGTAGCTTATTATGTTCATCTTCCAAAGCCATAGCTGAATTTCAATCTTTGGAAAGCTATTTATTTACTTTGTGTCTCATGTTGATGTTTCCTTTGGTGGCAAAAACGAAAAAAAATCCTGATTCTATTGGTTTAGTTAGTATCATGTGCGGACAAATTTGTTCATCAGTAGCAGATAACAGTTCCTCATTGTTGTCTTTGATGTTGTTAATTGGCAGGTGAGATTAACTCCCGCAAGACCTGGACTTACCCTTCATATGCCTCCACCTTATTCGATAGTTATTCAGGTGACTTGATATGCAACTATCTTTATTCTGCTAGACTCTGACTCCTGCTATCTTCTCATGTTCAAATACCATAATGTCATGGGTCTTGAAAAATGTGTATTGTGATGGCAGGAGTCAGAAAACGGTAGTTGGCATATACCTACTGTCGCAGGAGATGACCTTGAAACCCCAAGGAAATGGGTGTGTGCTACCAGGACAAAGAAAAAAAATCTACATTCCATCTTCAGCTGAATACTGTGACCAAATCCATTATGGTTCATATAAAAAGGAAGGAAATGAAATTTCGTATCAAGGCATCTTCGTCTGGTTCCTATGGCAGTGCCTGCAGCGGTAAGAGCAAGAAATGAGAAGATTTTGTCCTCGGTGTTGGCCATTCTTGAAATTGCATATAAGATTAGTGTCCCGTGAACTGCAGATGTTCCACATGAGCTTTGGAAGTGGCAAGAATCAAAGTGCAGTAAGCCTGACAGAAGAGCGCAAGACATCGAGAACCAGCCAAAGAGGAGCAACCTTGCTGTACAGAAACAAATATATTATTGCTTCTTCAACAACTATATAGTCCATAACTTTACAACTGAGATATGTTTTTGACCAAAAAAAAAAGATATGTTGTTGCAAATTGCCTTGCGATTATTAGCATTACTGCATGTGGATTACCAAATGCAAAACCAAAAGTTGGATAATCGAATGCCGCATTTCTATATATAGGCTTGTAGTACTAGTATCTTAGAACCTTTACGGTTATCAAAGAATACGGTGGAATCACAAGAGGCATAAATAACTCAGACTCTCTCAACCCCGGTTCGAATTTGGGTTCGAGTTTTCTACTCAAACTTCGACCTTTTGTTTTGAACTTTCAAATCAAATCAATGCGTGCTTCTTTTTACTGCAAGATTTCTATTTAATTTAGTGGTAAAAATCGCAAAATTAACCGCCAAAAGTGAGTATATTGCATTAATCCATGGTCAGCACACGAGCTCTCAAACCAAACATCTAGCCAAATTCGAGAGTTTAGGCATCTGGAATCAGGAGTATCGAACCTTCAGTTCCTTTTTTTTTTTTTCAAATGCATATTCTGTATTCTTTTGCTTTTGATTTTGATTTTGATTAGTATTATGGTTATGGATATCCAGGACTTTATGAGCTCCCGGTTCAACCAATTAACAAACCGAGCAACAGAGGCCTTTTGAAGCTTGTGCTGATTTGCTGATAGCGTTTTCCACTTCTTAAACCCACGCCTAAGAAGAAGGGGGCGCTAAGAAAAGCTAGCTCTGAGCTTCCACAATGAAACATATTCACCGCAGTACAAACCCATTAGTCCATCGCCGACGACGGTGAGTTGAGTTACTCTGAAGTCTGTATTGGACGGCGAAATCTATTTTCTTTCCGTTGCATTTTTAAGGTATGTACTATGTAGCACGGTGCACAGCATGTGTTTGACATAATACCTCACCGGTGTTCTACCCGAAGGATTGGATAAGTTGCTACAATCCCGGGCGACCCGGTAACCAGTATGACTTACTGACATTACTATCTTGTCTGTTTCGTCTTTCACTGACTCTGGCAGATGGATGAGCTGTTGAAGAATAACTTGTTTGCCACCCATGCTGTTGCAGCCGCTGGGTCTGTGGCACTGGGAACTGTTCTCACTTACCCGCTTGATACCCTTAAAGCCCTTATACAGGTTCCAAGTTTGATGACAAAGTTTTTAAATTTGCTGTTTCAGTAAACAATACATTTAATTGTACGTGTAATTGCCTGTTTCTTGTGAATCAGTTTTAGGTTATTTCAACTACTACAAAAGAAGTGATAGATTCTCCTTTTGTTTTGATGGAAATAAATAGCGTTCAAGAATGTATATTTTGTAATCACTTAGATATCTTATAAACTATAATTAAGTAGTATCATTATGTGAAAAGTAAGGTTGCCTGAAAAGTATCAGTTTCCAATATTCATGCGCTCTTTTTGGGTTGAGTGACTACACAGGTTGGATCAGTTCCAAGTAAACAATTAAGACCAGCTCAGGTTGTTCAGAGAGTTCAAGCATTCTCAGGGATTTCAGGTAACTTCAATTCTGCCCGTCTTTCGGTAAGCAAAAATGATATGTCTTGCTTTAATTCGAGCTTATAAATTTTGCCTGTTTAGTTTCTATAACAAAACTTTGGGAATAACATCTCTAATGCAGATTAAGGGAAGGCTTAGAATTCTTAATGGTCAGTATTTAAGAAGTTCACGAGATTATATTAGGCATGAATTTATTGTTCTCCCTCTTATGCTCATGCAAATATATTTCAACTTTACCACTCATAGGGTGATGAAAAAGAGTTTTCTGCTTATTATAAATATGTGGTGCAGAAACGATAATTTTGACGTTTCAGCTTGGAAATAGATGCAGAAATGGAGTAAATAAACACCTTAATTAGATTCTCATTTTTTTAGTCTTGTTACTTTCATCATCTTTGTGCTTCACCTTTCTCTTCTTGTTTGTGTTTCATTGTTGAGAGTGTTCTCCAACTCTATCTGTTTTATATATCTACAACCTATCTTCCAATGTTTTTAACTGTTTGCTCTTTTCTTAACATGTAGGTCTGTACAGAGGTCTTGGGTGGTTGATGCTAGGGAGGATACCAAGTGTTGGAGCTCGATTTGGTACATATGAACTATTGACAGCATTCTACAAAGGTATCATATTTTTGTTGTCATTTAACGTCGCAAAAGTTGTATTGTTTGTCTATGGAATTGCTTTCTTTTTTTTTCACCCTCCCACCCCACCCCACACCTTCCTGCCCTACCTGCCAGGCCTAGGATTTGAATTCTGAACCTAACAGTGGGAAGACTCTAAAAGTCCTCCCCTGGCCACTGGTGTATATGGAATTCATCTATTTAAGGAAGTATTATTATGTCATGCAAATTACTTTCCTTTCAAACAGAATATTACAAGTTAGAAACTGTTCCCTTATTGCTAGCCCCACTATTTGTTTCTGAATTATAATTCATAGGATAAGCATATTCCAGAAATATGGGTGGAGTTAATCTGGTGGCCAGGATCATCTTTGTGCGAAATAATGTTTAAAATATCTGAAGTGTTTGTTTTTTCTTCTTACAGAACAATACTCTACCTGTTTAAATTTGTCAAGAGAATATAGATAAAGTATGTTCACATCTATTCCTGGCTAATAATTGACAAAATTACTAGAGAGAAGGAGAAGAAAAGCCTAATCTACTTTTCCCCTAGAATCCACAATAAATTACAGTCAGTTTATAAAAAGTGTTATCATCGATAGAGAGGTAGATAAACTTTAGTACTTAATCAAACAGGAGAAGGAAAAAAAAAGGAAGAAGAACAAAGTATCTGCTTCATTTCTTCTTATTATAAGTGTCTGAAGTAAAGTATCCAAGATGGATTTATTGTATGGTAAGCTAAAAACAACTGGTAGCTTCATATGCCACCAGTCAATGAGTTAGCAAAGATTCTTTGGCCTCAAAGGCCCTTTAACACTTTAACGAATCATCCCTTTCTGTTTACAAAAACTCGATACTGAATATCTAATATTTACTGTATTACCTTAAATGTCGCGTTCACGATAGCAGAAATGCTTCAGCAACCAGAACTGTTTACGTCTGTTTGTTTGTGCACTTGCATGTATCTCCAATGTTTCTAAAAGTTTGGCATGTTTAGACATCATGTTGTTGAAAGTTGACCAGTTTTTGTTCCGCATCCACTACTAACCTTTTCTGGTGCTTTCTTTGTCAGATGGTAGAGTAGACAATTTTGTACATGTCTCTGAGGCACTAATGGCTGGAGTTGCTGCGGGTGCTGTGGAATCATTTGTGAGCTCTCCATTTGAAATTATTAAGCTTCGTGCCCAGGTGACTTCAGCTTCTCGCATATCACACTCCACGCCAGTTGTTCAGAATGGTGCTGTTTCACCCTTGATTGCTAGATTACTAAGTGGTTATTCTCCAGACATAAGGGCAATGAACAATTCTGTTGGTCTTCTATCAACTTTGACAACCAAATATGCCAATATGATTGATGGCCTGAAAGAGTATCCCTGGATGATGACGGGTTCTGGAAGAGCACCATCAGTCATTGAGGTCAGAAGGCCATTACAAATATTTTCTTTCGAGGGAACAGGTGCTTTTTGGAGAGGCTGGAGATCTGGAATAGCTAGAGATTCTACATTTGGTGGAATTTTTTTTTCTAGCTGGCAGTTTCTGCACAGAGCAATGCTTGAATGGAAAGCAGTTGGGATGACACCCCCACCAAGGTTTTTATGCTTAGTGAAAGTCCTTCCTCTTTAATAGTTTTTTTTAAAAAAAATATACTGCACTTTTAACTTGAGTTGTTGTTTGCCTAAAATTGGCTGGACAAATCTTGAATTACCATCTAAATTTAAGATCTCATATGTGTACTCCTCCCTGGCTCGAAGTGAATCTAAGTCCACTTAAAACATTACATATGCATGTGTAGGTGGTTCAGTTGCAACTTTTGTGAGCCTTGTTAATCAATTTCTTACATTTCTGACTTGGAATACATACAATTCTTAATCGTAGAAGATGTGATAATCATTGCATTGTTTTCTTCATGGTAGAGGTAATACTGCATTGCTGTGGGTATTGTTTGTGAAATCACATGATGCCAATGTACTCTTAATTGTTGACTGCTGAATTTAGGCCAAGGGCAAATTAGATTTATGGGTCAAGAGATTCTAGCTGTGAGTCTTTATTTTCATTAGAATGAACTGTTTACAATACAAACATGCATGAACTGTTTACCACACAAACATGCCTTAGATTCTTATGATATTTTTTGAGTGTGCAAATGAAGCATCTTATTGTTTGATCTGTCCTTCTACTTTAATATTCAGTATTTAGTCACCTTTCCTTGTTTCTTTTTCCACTGCTACTCGTGTTGAAACTTTGAAGTCTAGAGGTACTTGTAAATTGTCAAGATCATGTAAATCTAGCTCCTCCTTTTGTCACTCTGTCTATGTAGTAATAAATTTTTACATACTTGTCAAATACTTCAAAACTAGCCTGCAGAAGTTGCACAATATTCAATATAAATCAACATCACAGCAAAGGTGTCCGTGTCTGCATGCATTAAGTACTCTATGTTGCTTCGTTAGTAAGAATCGAAATTCTGATTCTGATTACCTCGAACTCAAATTTTTCTTTAAGTTACCCTTTTTTCCTGACAACATTTTTTTTTCTCTTCAGGTCTGATGATGAAATTGGTCCTTTGTCTCCTTTAGCTGTCAGTCTTGCTGCTGGATTTTCTGGTTCAATTGCTGCAGCTGCGTCTCATCCTTTCGACACTGCAAAAAGTCGGTCAGAGTGTACAGTGCTTCCCAAGGTCAGTTTCTTGCTAGCAATAAACAGTAGCATTTTCGTATATGTGTGCAGATTAGTTTAATCTCATAGGCTCTTTGGGATTCATCTGAAGTTCTCTCTTCAGTGTAATTGGTTACTGCTTCCTCCAGAAAGTTATTATGTTGACACAATCTTTTTTTTTTCTTTTCAAATATTATGCCACCTTATTTATTGGTTTCTTTGGAGGGGAATTATGGATAAAGTTCAATTTATTATTCTTTGAGTTGCTTTGATGCAGTACGTGTCCATGGAGAGGAAGCTTCTAAAATGGCCTAGGCCAGGGAAGAGATTTGAGAGGTTCACAGGGATTCATCCTGCAGACAGGAATATACTATTTCGTGGTGTTTGGTTGCGGATGGCTCGTAGCGGGGTTGCATCATTTGTAGTAGTAGGGAGTTATTACTGGGCAGTTGATCACCTGCTTCCTAAATGAAGTATCTGATACTTATTGGAGGATGTTATGGTATATCGGGTATGTTGATTAGCCTAAATTGAAATAGCACAGCCCTCCATGGGATATCAAAATGCCATCCTAAGAAGTTTTGATACAGGTCCAAGTGAGAAACTTAATGAGCGTATTAACTTTGGGATATAGAACTGACATCATTGTTAGGATTCAGATCCGTGTGGTACCGTGCAGATTTGGCTCGAGTCTATCAGGTTGTAGTGGGATTTGCGAATGTCAGAGTGTGATCAGAAACTTCTCAACAGAATTGGATAGTGCAATGGTAGTATATTTTGTTTCAGTCAAACTTTTTGGGACGCAGATTTACAGCCTGCTTAGGAATGTAATGCAGTAGAATAGCGTAAATCAGGGAGAAGTGTTACTGAATTTAATATTGGGCAAGGGCCCAGCTATTTGCCTGAGCTTTGTCAATTTGCACTACAAGTGGTCTCTCCACTTGGCAGAAGTTGTCTCAGATGGGATGTTGTGCTCCATCTTGTCTATTGTGTTGAACTTTTTGATCCAAGAAGTAGTGTTGACTCGGTTTTTGAGCTTTTCCTCTGACCTTTGATGTGGATATCTGGATTAATATAATTAGCTTGGCTGAAAAGCCACATTAATGTATATTGGCCCAGCCATGATTTTTTGTTGCTCTCTTCTTTGCCAATATAATATAACATCATTCCTAGATAAGCAACTGGAAAAGAGTTTTCTATTGAAGGAGGGTAGAGGCAATGCGATGTTTTCATAGTGTATATGCAATTCGATCTTTTGTTTTGGGGGTCTTTGTCAATGGAAGCTAATAAACTTTATAAACAAGTTGAGATTGGCCCATGAGAAGCATGTCTTGTGCAATCATAATGGCTTTCAATTTGATTTGGCCATTCCATTACAAGCAAAGTCTCAAAGCAAAACCACGAAAACATTACATATGATGTGAGTTGCCTTTGCTAACAATTAAAACTGTAGTTCAAAGTTTGTATGGCTCTTTCTTTCACACACACATGCCCAGTGAGCGACAGAATCCTCTCTCTCTCTCTCTCTCTCTCTCTCTCTCGTGCATGTGCTCGGTGCAAGTTCTCGATGATTGACGACATGCTCGGTGCTTACGAGCTAATTAAGCAACGAAATAGTTATTATTATTATCAAACGGAGTACATAAATAGTTATTTCTCATCTAATGAGATTATTATGTTGCATGAAACAGAGTGCAATAGGCATTTCAGGCATTTTTGTGATGAAATAGTAAATTATTCAGCTCAGCTGAAAAAGTTAATTTATAATTTGCATACCTCTTGATCTTTTCTTACCGAAGTTAGAGTTACGGCTTTTATAATTTGCATACCTAGGTTGATACAAAAGCATCAGTGTCTTGTCTTGGTAGCTGTGCAACTACTTCATGCTTATTTTTATGGTTACATGTGTTCTACTCAATTGACTTGCAACCCGAGCAACAGGGTGCATAAGTTGTTTCCTATGCCATATAAAATCCACCAAGCAACTTACTTAACAGAAAAGAAATATCAATAACACTTTCATTTCTCCCTTTTTTCGACAAAGGATGTGATTGGGGGCGAGATACCGAACAACTCATTCTTTTGAAACTTCACTCTGCGTCGAAATCTTTCAATTACTAGGTTGAAATAACAGGCAATCCAACTACACACAGATTCTTTTTTCTTTTTTTTTTTTGGGTTGAAACGATAAGTAATTCTTATAGATTATCAAAACTATACAATTATGTGTAAAGGCTCGATTGAGTTATACTTGGACATTGAGGAATCAAAAGTTCTTCATCTTGAATTATGCCTGAAGCATATGAGTTAATTCTATTGCAAAGATGATTCTGTTTCTTACTAACTAAATAAAAAGAACACATTCAAAACAACAACAGAGTCCGAGAGTCTTGAAATTGCAACAACATGATGATTGCCTTATTTGCCATTGTCTGATACTCTGACCCGTATAAACTTGTTTGGTTTGCTTGAAGATTAGAGCTAAGATTTTTTTTTTCTTTTTTTTGGTAAAATCTTTTGCACTACCCTCAAAACTACAGGTTTGGTCGGTCCTTATTCTAAAGAATGTGACTAGAAGTTGTTGTCATAAGTTGCTCTCATATATTATAGTAATCATAGTGATGTCTGTTAAAGTAGTTTGACTTGGTTAGGCTTTCGAGCACTTGTTAAAAGTATGTCATAAAGGTAAAAAAGGGTTAATCTCCTTGACAAGTAAAGAATAAAAACTTAAACTTTGTCATACCACAATGCTCCGAGGTCAACTAATTTATTGCCTGATCGTGAACCCCCCCCCCCCCCAAAAAAAAAGGGACAAATTACATTTTACCTCCTATAATTTAGCATTTTTGTACATAATTCCCCTATATTTGAAAAACTATACATAACCCCTCTTAGTTTGGATTTGTGTCAAGGTAATGAAATTTACAATTCATAATGGAGTCACCTAAAATGTCAAAAAGAACCCTATGTAAAGTTAAAATTTATTTATTAATCACAGGGAGATTATGTGTATATTTTGAAAAGTATAAGGGGGTTATATGATAAATATTAAACCATAAAGGGTTATATGATAGAAATTAAAATCATACAGAGTTAGTGCGTCATATATATTATATTTATATATTTTGGTCATTTCAGTCATTTTAACTTTTAAACAAGGGTAATTTAATATTTTTAAAGGTTCAGTACAAATGATCATTTTCGTTACTTTAAAACTTTAATTCAAACTATGAGAAGGTTATGTATAGATTTTGAAATCATATGAGTGTTATGTACAAAAAAAAATAAACCATAAGGGGATAAACTGTAATTTGCCCAAAAAAAGGAGAAAAAACACGAAGAAGGCGGCTTTGGGAACAAAAGTTTGATTCATTGTCCTACCTTCATCACTGCAACATAATTAGCTCCCACTAATGGTTGGCCAAATTAGATGGCAATTACACTTTTCTTCGTACAAATTCCCGTCATACCATCCCACAATTAACGTCCGTGGTAATTCGGATAGTAGGCGAAAAGAGCGCAAAAACTTGTGCTCAATGTGTCTTTGATGGACTTTTTGCAGTTTGCAAATGAAGATTACTTTCTCATTTTCTTCCTCTTTTCTCCATACATATGATATGGGATCACCATACATATGAAGAATGTGTCTTGGAATTTCAAGATTGCAACGCAACACGTGTGGAGCATTCTCGAGCGTGTGGAGGTGCTTACATCAGAAATGACTCGATGCTTGTCTAAGCAGGCACCTACAAGAAAATGGTTCGGTTCCTTAGCTTTGTTACACAAGACAACTACCAAATACCCATCACGCAAGAGAAAAGCTAAAAAGGCTACTTAGGAGGGGAGAAAAAAAGAAAGAAAGAAAGGGGATTCCAAAAGAAATGCTCAAATGCTCCCCAACAAATGGCTTGCAGACACAGAACGCAGTGATTATAGGGCTCCACATGATATATGTCCTCCCTTCTTCCTTCAACTCTCCCTCCCCCCCTCTTTTCTCTCCAAATTCAAAGTATACTTCACGTGAGAATCTCTATAAACAATAGTACTTGTGACTTGTGAGCATGAAAAATTCAAAACAAACACCATCAAGTGTGTAGAAATTTGAAGCAAGAGTGGGGCATAATTCCATCCGTTCTCTTCATTTTGATTCGTTTATCTTTTAGTACAACGCTTGTGGCTGGCTTTGCATGTCTCCCTTTTGATCATTTTTCTGCGTGTCAATATATTTGTTGGCAAGAGCTGAATAGATATTCCATGTCACCTCAATTTGGTTCGCAATCCACCCCTAAAATGGAGGGTTTGGGACACATATGGTGAGCTTCTGGTAAAACTGGTACGTTGTTGCATTTTTTTCTTCAAAATGTTAGTACTATATGCTTACATTACGTGATTGCATTCATATACTGAATTGGTGTACATGAATAAAATGTATGCGTGCAATAAAGTGATATCAATGTATATCAGATCAAATAAAAAGTACAACCACTTCAAAATGGCGCTGAGATCACAACAATACCTGTTACATACTCGTAAATGGGAATGACCGTCTTAATTGACAAACTTGTGTAGGTCAGCTCAATCGATTGGTGTTCAAAAGATAAAGCTCAGACGTGTGATTGCATTCAAGCTATGAACATTTACTGTTTTAATGTCTAATCGCAAGTAACAAAATCAGTAAAAGCATAAATTCCAATTGCATTTCGCCACCCTTGAACTAATTTTATGGTTACAAGATTGATTAATTGTACGTAGTACGTACTGAATTAAAAGAAGGAAGGAAAATATTTCTACATAATAATGGATAGGAGGAGATGATCATGCTGAGTGTTAGGCCTGCTGTATCTTGAGCTAGAACTAGGTCCTAACTTACATGCTGGATCAGCTGGCTAAGCTAGCTAGTTTGGCAAGCTAATTTCATCGAGATCATCCAGCGACAGAAAAACTTCGTCCAGGCATGAAAGTTCTGTGCCATCGTCATCGTCATTATTATCGCAGTTACGCTCATAAACTCGACACACTACCCATTTACTATAATCCTGCCAAACCAACCAACAAACCAAATTGTTTAAATTCCAAATGATGAAAAACGAATACACAGACAACAATTTGACACGGTGCTTACTATTTTTGAGTGTCTTTTTTTGGATGATCTACTGCTGCCGGAAGAACCATTTTCGGCGGAGAGTCTATATTCCTGCATAATCCAATTGGTTTTAACACCCTCGGAAGGTTCACCCACGTAAAACACGTAACACCTTTTCATGCCCAATTTTTGGCCTGAAGTGCTCGACAATATTGGTTCATCCACACCCATCCCCTTCCAGTACCCGTTACCCGTGATTCGGCTCTGCGTTCTCCGGCTGTAAAAGTACCATTTGTTACCTTCCGCCATTGCTTTTCCTGCATGCTCGAAACCAAACTTGGTGTATATGTACATTTAATTGCCATCAAATCAATGCAAGTAGAATCCTATTATATATCCACTGGTTTTAATTTCTATTATGTTTATTCATGTTGGTTATTCACGTCTATGCAGTATATATATATATATCGTCGATCACCTATACATATATCAAGATTGAAAAAAAAAAAAAAAGGAATGCTCCAAAAACAAAAGGTGGTCGAGCCTATATGTAGTATTTTGCTCAATTCTTCTTCTTTACCATGTACTTCAGCAAACAGAGGGATTTTAAAAAGAAAGAAAGAAAGAAAGAAAAAAAAAGGATGGATACCGTCCAAGTCCCACGGATCATAGGGATAAAGATCAAGATCCGGGATGACGTCCGGATGGCAAGGTAAGAGTGCAGCTTTGCGATGAAGGAAATGAGCGACGAGTTCTTCATCGGTGGGATAGAACCGAAATCCCGGTGGGAGCTTCGCATTGTTATCCCCCATGAGTAAATGCTACTACGCGCTATTACTACTCCTACTATATATGTATATATAGAGGAGGGGGATGAAGATAGATTGCGATGTGGAGTGTGGTGAAGTGTTATTTGTTTGTACAAGAAGTGATATTTATAGCTAGCGAGAGGGAAGGAGGAGGGAGGGTGGAGAGAGAAGGTGTTTTGGCTATTTAACGTGAAATGGAAGGTGCGATTTGATCTGAGGCAACACCATAACTCAACCAATCAATCAATCAAGAATATTGGTATTGGACCTATTGGTATTGTGTTTTTTTTTTTTTTTTTTGGGTGTATTTGCATATGATATTTTTAACAAGTAATGTAATGCTGGGGTGATGGCCCTGCTGGCCAACTCCAAGGCGGCGGGTGAAGGAATGTATTGTATTGTTGGACACTTTCCAAGTAACGGGATCTGTTACGGGTTACCATTCCTGCTGCAGCAAAATCCAACTCCATCAGCCCACTACCAGCAGCCGCATTCCATCTCCCACCCCCACATTGACACAGATATATATATATATATATATATATATATATGTATGTATTCCAGAACACAGAAAGGGGGAGAAAAAAAATATACAGCTAGAAAGAAAGGAAAGGGCTCAAACATCGGGTCAGCATCATCACACTTCACGCTTATATCATCTTCAACCTCATGGCACCCACGTGTCATGGTTTGCCGCATTGCTTGCTTTGTGGACCATACATACGATCCAAGTGACCCACCTATTTGGGAGTGGCCTTCAAACTAATTATTATCATCATTAGCAACCAGTCCAAATAATTAAATTTATTCCATCGTTAGATTTTGTCTTATTTTAATCTTTCCAGTTTTGGTCGACACCGAGGTGTGAAGGCGGGATGGATTCAATTCAACTGTTTATAGATCGAGATGGAATGGATTCAACAAAGTTCTGCTCGTGGCCCCATTAGTATATATTCATCTTCCATTTGTGCCAAAATTGCTGCTTCTCTTTCTTTATACGCACGAGCCACTCATTTCTTGGATAATGATTGTAACAGAGTTCAATTAAGTTAAGTTAATCCCATTTATTTATTTACAATCAAGTTAAGTTAATCCCATGGTGGCTCAACTTAAGTGACCAGTGGAGATTTTGGCATTTTGCAGCGCCATCTTAATATTATTGATGATGATGATGATGAAGATGAAGGCATTTCTCCTCTGAGTTCTTCATTGGTGATTGTCTGGAAATTGACAGTTCCTACTGTAGAAGCACTAGCTACAATTAGTAGCATCCTTATCGACAAAGCTGCAGCCGCGCGTCAGGGAACTAAATTGGTAAAAGATTTGTTGCCATATATGATAATATTCTTCTTCTTGCCTGCCCCAGAATTTGCATTCTGTTGAAATCAAGCTCTAATGCAGATTCATTCTCTATTGTTCACGTAATCTATCTTTTAACCTTCACAAGATTATAATAACTCGTACGCTGAAACACATATAAACTTGCTGTGGGCTAGCTTGGCTTTTCATTCAGTGTTTGCTTCGGAAGAGATATGATATGTTTGTAGCCAGGCAATGGATTTTGGGTAGGACTTGAAATAATGAAGGAAAAGACTAAAGGCTAAATAAGGACAATGACCATACGGGATTGGCGAAATGTTGTTCGAGGTCTTTGTTAATGGAAAGTTACAGGTGGATGCAGGCGTGCACAGGCATCCTCAGAAAATGCTCTCTCTGATAATGGAATGGAGTCACCCTCGTGCCATATTAACCACAAGCAGAGTCGTCTTTCCTTTTTTTTTTTTTTTTTTTTTTTTGTTGTTGGGAATGATAAGTGGATTAATCATTTTATGTTAACTTGGAATTCTCACCGTCTCATCATAGTTGTTAAAATTCCAATTTAATTGCTGTTAATTACCATCCTACTAGTATAATTTTATGGTCCAAATATATAAATTCAATCCCATTCTTAGTAAGATTTTGGAGCTTGTAAAATTATAGTTAAATCACTAGAATTTTGTGGATTTAATAATTAAATACACATTATATAAGCGAAGAGATGACAGATATTTATTTATCAAAATTCTTTAGCCAAAAAAAAAAAATGTCAGAGTCATGACTTGAACTTCGATCCATTAGCATATAATGTTAGAAATTTTTTTAAGTTTTAGTTGAAAAATTTACTTTTTTTTTGGGGGGGAAGGGGGGGCTAAGATTGATTGCAGCACCTTTTTACATCTATTTAGGCATATATCTCACAAATCTACCTTCACTTTTGATTCTAAAACTTCCAAAAGACTATCTATCCAAGATAGGATCCCAATTTAAAGACACCTTTGCCTCTTGTACATGGGAACACATGATAACCTAGCTCGGATGACTGCCCCACAATTTTATTGTCAAAAGTCAAAACAAGTATGCCATGAAGTACGATTTTAGGGTAAAAAGACAGAAACACCTCCCTCCCCACTTGCTCATGGCTTTCTTTCATAGCTTCCCTATCACACTTAGGGATTGTCATGCCATAGACAAATACATCTCAATGGAAGATGGATACCATACTCCTCGGCGTGATCATATCTATCTTCCTATGAAAAAGATAATCCGACGCTAGCTATCTAAATATCCTCTTTTATCTCCCAGATGGTCAACATTTTCTTGCATGACATGTGGTTGAAACTGAAGGGAGGAGGAGGAGCAAAACTGGATGCTGTGCACCAATTAATGTTCTTAATTATGCTCAGCATGCACCTGATCATCAGTTAACTCAGTAGTCAAGACAACCAATTTAAGAAGAGATTAAAACTTGTGCATGTCTTGCATCTGAAATCTTGTCGAACCTGAACAGAGAGTGCGTGCATTAGACTGCGAATTAGAGAGAATATATATATCCATAATAATAAACTAGGCCCTGTAAGAAAGGCTTGTAATCACCATATTCACTACAAGTTAGTTCAACTTACCATTTACTATTACCTACCATGTAGTATTTAATTTGGCTGAATTGTTATTTGAGGCTGATGTATAATACCTACCATGTAGTATAGTGCTGCTGTAATTTCAGTGTATCGCTAGGTAGATAATTAACCAACTCATCAGATTGGATCACACACGCACCTAGGAAGCAGGAACAGAAAGCAGGAATCAGAAGATCATAAAATTATCCTCAAGTTCACCTACCAAATCACTTGAGAATGAAAACTCATTGCATCCGTAGCATAGGATCACACTAAATATGTACTGCGAACCAATGCAACTGCTGGTGATTTCGTTCCAAACAATTAGCTTAGCAGCGTAAGACAAAAACAATACGAAGCCACCCTGCATCAACCAACACAAGTACAAATTTTAGGTTGTTCTAATAATTTCATGAACAAATTTAACATATGTTTCTAATGTTATTGGTAAGATCAATTATTGTACTTGCTGTTGCATGAGTGCATGTGGGCTCATCTTCTCTTTTCTTCTTTCTACCCAAAAAAAATTTTTTTAAAAAATGCGTAATTAATTCCAAGGGCTAGAGTGGATCTACGGAGAAGGTCATAGGGTTTCGGAGCACAATTCCAACGATTTGTGGAAACACACAATCTAATTGGAATATTAGAAAGAAGAAAAGCATAAAAGGTGATAAAGTGTTAGAGAATTTTTTTTGGAGTGCTAATATCCATTTTCCAATTGAAAACGTTGTACTATTTGCCAACCAACTTGGTGAACCCCAACTTTGTGTTTGAGCCTTATCCAAATGCCAAACGTTATTAATGGAGCCGTAATCAAGTTTAAAGACTCGAGAATGAGACAGGTGAAGTTGAAGATGAGAGAGATGACTGCATAGATAGATAGATAGATAGACATATAGTTGTGTCTTTTCTTCCAGTAGAGAGGTGGGTCGTGGAGTCCCTACCTTTGCATTCCCTCAGTGGCGAAAAACTCATATCTATCTTGATTTTCACTCGTTTAATTGAGAGCTCATCAGCTCAATAGCCTTTTGCCCAACTATTAGGTAACTTTAGGGTTAGGAAAGCAAAGTTAATCTGTTACAAGTCCAATAATAGAAATTTATGACATGATATTTAACAAGAGCGAGCAGTACATATAAAGCACTGACATGACACAAAGCAGGCTATGAAGAACTACCAATCAATTGGTACTTTTAGGATCGTGGTCCAATTACGTACTCAGGTTGAGATATTTCTGATCAGTCTAATTTACATATTTCTGCTTAGTTAGTAGTGTCTTTAGCCGATGACAAATGACAGAAGATATCATCATAAACTTTCAGCATACTAATTCTTTCTTTTTCTTTTTGAGCCGCTGGACTGCTAAATTTATACTGCTAATTCGGTTCAGTGAATTTGGAAGATATTAATGCGGCGAGCGAGAGGATTCCATAGCCCAAATTTTGCAACTAAGAATGGACCGGCCCCAAAGCAGACTTAATGTTCCAGTTAATAACAGCCGCAAAGGACACAGTGCTAAGATGTCTGTCAGTCGGCCCTCGCAGTTCTCTTCTGATACACAGAACACAGAGAATGTGAGTGCACATCAAAACTTCAATAAAGCGAATGCTTGTAATGTGCCAGAAAGCTTTACATTTACTAATACTCATGACCGCTGAGTAATGTCAACGTTCTTGAAGTTGAAAAGATAAGGAGAATGCTGTCGTGACATTCATCTGTTTGCAAAACTAGTAGTGTCTGAAAGTAATTGATATCTTTCATGCAGGAGGTTAAAGGATCCAAGCGATTTATCTTTTGATATATGATGGTGTAGACTCAGCTACCAGCCAAGAAATATTCCAGAGGAACTGTTGATAATGAAATTACTCATGTTTAGTATATTTTTTATCAACTTTGCAGCGACTAAAATGAAACGTGAAAGAATTTTCCACAAACTGTCTCTTCAATGATTGAGCCTCAAACCGGAGGCAAGGATGGCTTCTTATGCCTCAAACCAGATTAGCAATGACTTCTTGCTTCTTTTTGGTTTTCTCCCAGTCCTCCTCCATATTTCTCCTAGTCCTTCCCCATCTTTGTTTTCAATAATGTAATCGCTGCAAGTGAATGTTGCTTGTGAAGCTTTATTTTCTCAATGTCTCGGGGAATGATGCAGTTTCGAACTTGTTCAAATAAAGACTCAACTAAAACTTAGCAATTTTCTTCTTGAAAGACGGACAAAGCCCTTCTTATGTTCATACAAAATTGGCATATGCTCACTTCCTTCTGCCGACATGCTTCATGTTTTTAATTTGTTTATTCCTTACCAAGTATTTGCAGTTCGTTCCTAAGCTACAAAGACGGGATCGTGAAAAAATGGTTCAGGCACCAGCAGCAAGTTGATCTTTTGTAGCTGAAATCTCAAAGCCAGCACTTTGATCCCCTTCTATTGAGCATCATCGACTCTTCAAGACACTATATCCACTGTCACTCCTGTTTATATCTAGCAAAAAGAGCAAAGAGAACATCACTATGGCCCGACTGATCAGTACTAAAACATTTTGCAATGAATACTTCACTAAGACCAGAAATATAACATTTGCACTTGCGGCTGCAGTTCCATCAGCGCTTGGGTTTTGAGTGCACCTGTCCAAATATTCTCAGCTCATGAAGTAGTTGCCCAGAAGATAACAAGGACAAGTTGCTCTGTCACTTCCAACAACTCTGTCGCCTAATACAAATTCAATGGATTTACTCTTTTCCCCATCTAAATGGCACAAACATTGAGTAGGAGAAGAACTTTCCTATCAAGCAATCACAAGAGTCCAAAATGGGCAATACCATGTGCGCAGAGAAACAGCTAGGGGCAAAACAGCTTTAATATCATAGATACAATTACATGGGTCAAACAGGTGGAAATAAGAAATAATGGTGTCAGGTTTTACTACACATACCGCAGTCTAGCAACAAAACTAGAATCACTAGATTACAGATCTGCTAGAAAGCAATATTAACTCCATAACAGGAGGAACAAGGCCCAAGACCTGGCTCCAGGTTGCCTTTTTTATTTTCCACTCAGGGCAAATTGTCCCGGATTCCAAGATATTTGGAACTCTGGCAGGAATTTCCATTCCTGCATGAAATATATGTAGAGCATGCAGTTTCCATTAGCTCAGAACTGTTGAACAGTGCCTCATATTGCATCCTACTTTTTGTACCTCAAAATCCTGTGAGCCAAGGCAACTCTAAGCCGAATTTCATTTCGAGACTCGTGCACCTTTTCCTTCTAGAATTTGTAGGTTCAGAAAGCAGTTTCACATACAATGGGTTTCTCCAAGCAAACATCAGCTTGGATGGAGTCTTGGAGCTGCATATGTGACATCTGATGGCATGCTCACCATAACTAATGACTCGTCCAGGTTAATTGACATGCATTCTATTCAGATCCTTTGCAGTTAAAAGAAAGCAAACAGAAGAGTAGTGACAAATCTTCTCCCATTAATTTCAGCGCAACTTTTGTGTTCGCCATCACCCCGAGACATCCTAATCTTGGAACTCATGGCTTTGCCTTTGTTCTTATGCCCACAAAAAACCAAGAGGTTGTCTTCCAAACCAGTTCCTTGGGCTTCCAGATAACACTAGCATTGCAAAATTTAACACAGGTTTTCTAGCAGTTGAGTTTGATACTGTTCAGAATCCTGAACTCCTGGACATCAATGACAATCATGTAGGATTAGACAATATATATATATATATATATATATATATATATATATATATATATATATATATATATATCTTTATATTATTATCTTTATATATATAAATAAAAAATTTTGAATAATTTTATTTATATGTATTGATAATATATGATAATTATATATATATATATTATATCTTTATATTATTATCTTTATATTATAAATAAAGATAATTTTGATAATTTTATATATGTATTGATAATATATTGATAATATATATATATATATATACATCATTATCATTATCATTATCATTATCATCATTACAATATAAAAAATATGAATCTTGGTATTAGGGAATGTAAGTGTAAGCACTTTTTTTATCTTAGTTTTTGTTATCCCTAAATTACCCTCATGTCTTTTAATTAAAATTATTGCATTTTAATGTGGCACTAGTTAAAAGAAATAAAACACTCCAATTGATTACATCTTAATAGTATTGATAATTATAATTAAAAATTGCTCATTAAAAACTATTTACCTACTTGAACTCCATCTCCAATTATTATACGTATCAAAATTTCTTAATTGAAGTATGAAAAATTTCTCATTAGTCATTGGTTAAGATTATATATAATATATAAAAAAATGTCAAAATACAGATACTCTCCAGAAAATAGAGAAACATACAAGGAGAAGAGAACACTAATTCATCTGTATATCTTCATACAAATATCACGAGCAAATTTTACAATTATGCACTTTTTGCCCATATAAAGAATTTTCATATTGCACCCAATGGAATTTCAATACACAAAACATGATAACATTTATAACTGAAATAATAGTATTAAATTGGAAAAAAAAGAAATCTGAAATAACACCATACAAACCACTATTATCATTAATAGCAACCGATCAAAAAAAAAACTGAAAAAAAAAATTGAAAACTATTCATAAAATGACATAAAGTAAATAGCATATGAATTAAAAAGTTAGAATACAATTCAAATAATACCAAAGACAACATCCAAATCACTTATATCCAAGGGAAGACAAACATTGTTATTGACAATAATATAGTAATATTTCATATGTATTGGTTTGAGCAAACCAAGTCCATCCTTCAAGGTAAAAGCCATATCCAATGATAAAATAAGAATTATAATAAGAGTAAATTTAAAATGAAGAATGATAAAATGAAAATGATATCCAAATTGTTTTTAGTGATGCCCTAATATCCTTTTTTTTTCTAATGATTACATATATTTATTGTATTGCAATATTAGCTAATAAGGGAAACGGTTATGAAATGAAAAACTTTAAAATTAAGTAAATTTTATATATGGTGACAATTGTAATTAGACATATTTAGTGCATTCCAATAATTGATAATAATGATAGTGGTTATGGATTAAAAATTGGCAATTAAAAAATAAAACACTGCAATATACAAAAAATTAATATTAAAATTGCTAATTAGCCACAATTCTCATTCCAATTCCATGATCATCAAAACAACTAATACTAAAACCAAAATATTGTGCTCATATGAAAAAATTAGACTTATTGCTTTTGCTTCGCATTGGATTGTGCTAAAAATATGAACAAAAGAAAAGGAAAATAAAA